TTTTTTTTTTTTTTTTTTTTTTTTTTTTTTTTTTTTTTTTTTTTTGTTTTTTTTTGGGACGCCATGTACTGTGTATATAATATTATGTATTATGTAATAGTCCTCCTCGGCAACGCGTGCGTTTTAACAATATTATCCAAAAGTTAGTACGATAAGTGTATACAGCGTGTTGCATGCATGCGGCATCATTTTATTATGACTTGTTTAAAATTTAACTGCATCGCCTTCAAACGACTCGCGATTGATTTCATTGATTGTTAATAATTATCACAGAAAGTTCGTAAAGCAATGACCGCGAAGACAACACCCGTTGGGTAAATCAAACATGTGGGTGCGTTTATTTAATCTTACAAGCATTTTTAGATTTTTTTTATTTCTCGTCGTAAAACGTCGCTAAAGACGGATATTGATTTTTTTTCGCACATTTCATTTGAGAGACTTTTTCAAATGTCCACTTTTTTTTTTTTTTTTTAAGAATAAAATTCGTGAGCTCTACTTTTACCTAAATACCTATCGTGTGCTCGTACGTTATAGCTACTGGCTATAATGGATTGAGAATGACAAGAGAGTGTGTCTATATAGACTAATTTTCTACTCACTCGTGTGCGAGGAGCCTAAAAACTTTAACACTATATGTATACGTCGTAAAAATTGGTTCTACTGTAGAGTAATAACGGTAAGATATATATTTGTTTTAGGAGATATTTTTTTTTTGCAAGAGCATGACTTTACTAATCAGTTCTGTACTCGTTGCGTATTGTTAAGATATTGCTTGTAAGTTCACGATGTCAACTCTACGTATGAAGATTTGTCGATGAAGAAACGAGATCCGAAAAGACAATATTTTGCCGAGTTGAGAATTATCGAGCAATCGTACGGTTGTCGATGACTACAAGTTTAGATTTTTTTTTCAGTCACCTATGATCAAACGATAATTACACTTAGAGGCACGATCCGTACAAAATACAAATTGGGTATTTCCGCGTAATCACACCCGTTAGGGCTTTGTCCCACTTGGCGTTCGTTGTGCGCTATTCATATACGTGAAACCAATCGGCAGGTATTTTTTTGACGTCTGAAAGTGTGAGCAACTGGTGCGCAGGTGTTGGCTCGCTGCTCAAGCTTGTACTCACGAAATGTAGTTCATAGTATGGCTTTCCTCACTGGATTCAATAACCTAAACCGTTACGTAATTGAATGGCTCAAAAAAAAATCTAGACGATCAAAACAAAAAAATAGTATCTAATATACAATAACACGCAACGCATTCCACCTTCGTGCGCGCGTATCTTGTAGCTGTGCCTATATACCTTATCTCCCACAAGCGTAGAAGAGGAAACCTTTTTTGCTTGAATTTTCAACGAGAGCACGAGACGTTTGAGAACTGGTAAGCAAGTTTTTTTTTTTTTTTTTTTTTTTTTAGATCACACGCGTTACTCCGATTGGAATTATGCATGTTAATGAAGCGCTCATTCCCGTACCTGTAAGACATTTGCGCGAATCTAAGTCTAAATCAATTGGTACCCGACTTCGATTGGTCAAACAAAAAGATTTACAATTCAGTAGTGTTATTATAGCTTAAATATAACTTGTATATCGATGGCTTTAGGAAATAATATTTTTAATCTCCGAAAGTACTTGAATGTTGTCGTTTAAAAATGTATCGTCAATATTTTTCTTGCTATTTTTTTTTTTTTTGTTAAATTCTATAACTGTTTCGAGTTGAAGCTTTTGGACAAGTTGCTTTTCGGATTGGGCCGTCAATGTTTACTAAAAAAACAAGAATTGTGTGATCAACATGTAATAAGCATGAATGAGAAGTTATCATTAGATGTGTGCGGTAATATAGGATTGATGGATGGGTAATTGACACACATATACACAGAAAAAGTGAAAGTTAGCTTAAAATTATTTTATTAACGTCTCCATACTTAATATTACGATATTCGCTTAGAAAAAATTCTGTATGGGATTATACAAAATAACAATGCGCGTATTAATAATAATTTGGTGGAAACGAGCAACGTCAAAAGGTTCATAATAAAATGTCAATAGTACATCCTGCCGCGATTACACTTTTTGTTTTTTTTTTGGTTTTTTTTGGTTGTCATATTACTTCATCGTCGTCATCGCATCATTATATAATATATGCCACATCGCGGGCGCAGCGCCGATTGCCAACGCATACTCAACAAATCAGCGGCGTATCACAAACAAGAACAATTATATCCTAGCAAGACACGGCTTTGTTTTATCTTATTTTATTTTTTTTCCATTATTTTAATTCTTTTTTTGTATTTCGCTATTGAATAACTTTTATTTTTTTTCCCTTCCGTATGTCATTTTATTGCGCAAGAACTCGTCAATAACAACTGTTCTCCACGTTCAAGTCACGTAGTTGTCGGCTATACTCGTTACATCGCTCCCTCTTTATTTTTTTTTTCTTTTTTTTTTTTCTTCATACACTCCATCATTTGCACCTCAAAGTGCACAATCATGCCGATGTCATGCAGCAACAGAATACTTGTCGCTGCAGCTACCGCATGCGTTCATTGCTTCTGGTACACAAAAAAGATATAAAAGGATAAAGAGGAAGATAAAGAAAGCAAATGTCATTGCCGATATTAAACTGAGAGGCTATTGCACGCGGACGCTACGTTGAAACTCATGTGTCACCGTCTCCCCCTCCCGCCCTCACTCGCGCTAGAGAGAGAGACGTCATGTACTGCATACTTGCCATTACAACCAATTAAACATACGTTTTTGGCTCTTTTTGGTTTTACGCATCCCGCAACAAACAAGCACAAAGGCAAATTCATAGCTTTTTAAAATATATCACTGTTTTTTTTTTNGTATAGGAGTCTTATCCCGAGGAGCTCGTAAAATATTTAGCTCGTCCTCCCCGGCGAAAACACCGTGCACATAAAGATTGGATAATGTCGTCCTATCGCGATGCTTCACTTTTCTTCTTTTCCTCGAGTGTACGAGTCTCTCTTTTTTTTTTTTTTTTTTTTTTTTTTTTTTTTTTTTTTTTTTTTTTTGTTTTTTTTTGGGACGCCATGTACTGTGTATATAATATTATGTATTATGTAATAGTCCTCCTCGGCAACGCGTGCGTTTTAACAATATTATCCAAAAGTTAGTACGATAAGTGTATACAGCGTGTTGCATGCATGCGGCATCATTTTATTATGACTTGTTTAAAATTTAACTGCATCGCCTTCAAACGACTCGCGATTGATTTCATTGATTGTTAATAATTATCACAGAAAGTTCGTAAAGCAATGACCGCGAAGACAACACCCGTTGGGTAAATCAAACATGTGGGTGCGTTTATTTAATCTTACAAGCATTTTTAGATTTTTTTTATTTCTCGTCGTAAAACGTCGCTAAAGACGGATATTGATTTTTTTTCGCACATTTCATTTGAGAGACTTTTTCAAATGTCCTAAGTGGTTAACCATTTTAAAATGGCCTCTTTTGCACGGGAAAAGCCAATGTAGAAGAGCTGTAGAGTGAAATAACTCGGCTGTCATAATCAGTGATTTGTGTACATAGCTTCTCTAAGAAATTTAATAGAACTCTAATTATTTAGTTTTTACAATAGTTGACTAGTGGAAAGTTAAATCATGTATAAAATTTGTTAAAAATTTTATAGATACAAGGAGCGCGATTTTTGGGGGGAAAAACACAAAAAGACCAATAATCACAAGTTTTGAGGAACGTCAGTTGCTATGCAGACGAAGCTACTGCCAAATCCCTCAGCAACTTCCTATTTATTTTTCCAGACGCTGTGTGCGGCAGTTCGTTCAAAAACTTGACACCCCCCCTCAATTTCTTTTTATCGTCCAATTGAGCGCTGAAATCCACGAGCTCCTCTTCAGACACCTAAAATTGTTTCCGTAACATTAGCGTACAATCAAAACGAGCACGTTTGTGAAGATTTACCTTAAAGCCAGGAACTCTTTGTACAAATGCCATGGGAATCTCTATGTCGAAATCATGAGGAATCGGTACGACGGCAGCCTCCAGGACAGCATTGTGAGACATCAAGTACTCCTCGATTTCCGAGGGCGCTATCTGATGTCCCCGGTACTTCATCACTTCCTTCAATCTGTCGACTATCACTATCTCGCCGTTATCCATGTAGTAGCCAATGTCACCCGTGTGGTACCATCCTGATACATATTANATTAACAAAACAAAATGAAAAAAGTGATACAACATTTTTATAAACTAAAAATTGTGGTAATTAAAATTAAGGTAGGTACTTATTCATTATGTTCGTTCCATTAAATTGAAGCATGGTAATGAATAGTAATTAATCGCCTTGAAAAATACGACCTTTTCAAACTCGAATATAGTCATGAAAATCAATCATAGTCAAAGAAAGGAAGATTTATTACGTTAGCTGACGAAGCAGCTTTTGACCAATTTGATTTTCATCCAAAAAAAAAAAAAAAAAGTTCTATTCAAAATTTAGTGTTGAAAATTCTCTCTTTTATCATTCGTATTTAAACGATTCCTTTAATTATGCGACTAAAAAGTTGGTGGTTATTATTTGGAGTTTGAAAGACGGTGCAAGCAGTGCGAGGTGAGTCTCGTATAAGAGTGGCTAAACTTTTGTAAACGCGTTTCTTCTATAAGTTAAAAAGCTATAGAAGTACACCGTATGCTCCTAACGCGATAGGTGCCTCCTTTTTTTCGTGCAATATATCTATCTTATGTTTCTTTTTTACGTATCTCCTTATGTTTAGTCGTTAAAATACTCATGTATATCGGTAATACTGAATTTTAATCACTATCTAATTTTTTTTTTTTTTTTTTTTTCCTTTACAATAACACCAATAGTAGTTGATGAAAAATTTTCTAATCTTAAGTTGAAAAAAGCATTCAAATGATTCGTGATTAGTTAACATCGCATACAATTTCATACAAAAATTATCTTAATTTTAAACTAATTCTAAAGGATAACATCAAGTTACTAAATTTACGGAAATGTAAAATAGAAAACATTTTTTTTTTTCATTTTCATTTTTCAGCCCACGCGTCACCTAAAAATCGTACGTTCAATAATTGTTATTTCGCAAATCGTAATTAGTAATTAGCACTCCCATTGCGGGCCACATTCAAGAACGTCATAGAAAAGTGCATATAGTATATATTATATAAGTATAGGAGTATGGATAAAAGTGAGTAGTAAGAAAACCCGTAGGAGGTGCAGAGATGATGAACTTCGGTGCATTTTCCTCGAGGTAAAAATTATTCTCACCGACACCGGCATCACCTCGTCAGCAGTTTTTGTTTCGAATCGACTGTACCGATTGAAACGCACGTACACAGCGCGCCTTTTCCATATGCAATGTTACAAAGGTATATTCATATTTTCCCTCGTTTCTCAATAATTTATGCAAAAGCACAGCTCGCACTAATATCCAAATAACAACAACAACAACAACAACGACAACAACAACAACAACAACGACAACAACCACTCTGCAAATAAAAAAATAAGTCGAGAAATTGCCTTTTTTTTTTCTTTCTTCCGTAACCATAAATATGTATAGGTAATAAATGCATATACGGCCATCAACAAAATAGCGCACTCACGTAGAGAACGATTGAACCGGCCGTTAGGAGCGTCATCGCGCCACACCAATAAATACTGCCACGCCATCCACTTGACTTGTATGATATAATATAGCGTTGAGTAAAAAAAGAAACTCCAGATATTTTGCATCAGCGACACGCCAATCGTTGAAAAAATGATCCTCGCGAAAGCTATACGCGTATACGTATAATGTTGTTGTACTATGTATACCTATTAAATATTGTTAAAACTACGATTGCATGACGCGTAATAAGTTGTGCCTATATGCGATGAAAAAACATTGTTATTTCTTTCGCACTAAAGGCTCGAAATATGCGATGGAAAGCTTTTTCAACGCTGCTCGGAGATCGGAGATTTTACGGCACGTCTCGCATAGAAGAGGCAAGGGGCTAAGAGCTCGATAAATGTATATTTATTGGGTTTCGCTTACGGTAGAGGGACGAATAACTGTTTTCTTTGGTGTACCGAGAAAAAAAAAACCATAGTCTGATCTTTGATGACGAGTACCTCTCGATATAACAATAGGAAAAAAAAAAAAAAAAAAAATTACGCTCTAACGGCGCGCAACGTTACCGTTACCTTCACTCGGACCGACATAAACTTTGTCTGCGCTTGAGATTTCGCAGGGCTCCTCGGCGCGTCTTTGTCGCGTTTCACCCACAGCTATAGCGTGCAATAACTTTGGCGAGTGTCACGTGTGCCAGCCGAAGAAGGAGTGGGCGAGTGAATGCGCGAAAAATTGAAGCAGGTGAAAAGCGGGTGTGCTTGAGGGAAAAAAAAAAAAAAAAAGCAATAGCATCGAGGTGGAGAGAAAGCAAGTTCAAAACTCATTTGTCAGGGGCAAAAACCCGCTGGGGCGCGAGGAACAGGAAAGATGTTTCGATGCAGTTTTCAGTACATACACCTACGTATAGGTATATATTTTGGATACACGAGACGCGTGAAATATCGCGGCAGCTCGTAGTGGCAGATATAATACTCCGAAATTTCATCGCCTCGTTATAAACACTGCGCGGCTGTATACTACTTGGGGCCATATATTTTATCGCGTCGTGTGCATACATGGGAAAGAGAAACGAGCGGGAGTTTTGCAACAACTGATGCCGGTGTTTTTGCTGATGGCGTTTGTACGGCGAAAACAAGTTCGCGAGCCCGGCAGATGTACGTGCAACTGTCGAGTTTCATGCACACATAGGTCGTGCATTTAGGTACATTGGGTGTGAAAAGTCTGTGTGTATATGCGTAGGAAGAGGGTAGGGAAAAAAGGGGGTGAGCTTCGTTATACGCCGGCAAACGATAAGAGTATAGGAGTCTTATCCCGAGGAGCTCGTAAAATATTTAGCTCGTCCTCCCCGGCGAAAACACCGTGCACATAAAGATTGGATAATGTCGTCCTATCGCGATGCTTCACTTTTCTTCTTTTCCTCGAGTGTACGAGTCTCTCTTTTTTTTTTTTTTTTTCTTTTTTTCTTTTTTCAACCAGGAAAAGGGGCGCGGATGTGTTGGTTAATTAATGCCCGACCATTTGAGAAACGATGGGCCGTAGCTTAGCTTTGCTTCAATTAAATTCGCTGGGAAGCGATGTACATATACTTTTCGGTAATTTAATGAAGAAAAAGATACGCGTGGGTGTATACAGTTGGAGTAATTTCGGTGGATCCTACTACATACTTTAATCCAAACTTCGGACCGGGCAAGCTTTATTGTGCCATTAAAACTTTTTTTTTTTTTTTCCCCCAACAGCAGTAATTAAAGCCACGCAGTAGCATATTTCTGCACCGGACGAGTGATACCAGCTGGATCCCACTATTATTCCCTTATCTTTTTTTTTTCTACCTTCGTTAGCATGTATTTGCTGACCTTAATTGCGTGTCGTTATTTGGCGTTTAAAACGACGGGGAAAATCGATGGCCGAGATTGACCCTTTGTTGTTTGCGGAAGGGACGCGCGCCCGAGTCATCTAACCCGTGAACCGGTAAATTATTGACCACCGGTGTACTCTTTGAAAACAAATGTCCCCTGCGATTCCCGAAAATTCACGTGATTAAGAAACAAACAGTCGTGCGAGTTGGTATGACGAAAACAATCTTTGTTTTTCGAGCTGCTGCGAGCTTCGGCTGACCTGTTCTCTTTTGACCACACCGATATACATATTTTGGATACAATTTGCACCACGAGTACAAAATACGTCCCGCGAATGGGAAAAACCTTTTGAAAGGACCATCCCCCCCCCCCCGTCCTCGCTCGGGACTCTACTGATTGCGCGTCAATGAAGCTGGGAACGGAGCGTTTGCTCCGTACAATCGTGCAGGTGCTCGCGACCGATCGAAGAGTTTAAAAGAGCAAAAATAACGAGCACTCGAGCAGAGAGGGAGAGAGAAAGATGGATGTATGCGTAGATGCAAACGTAGGAAATTAAAAAAGGGTGGATCGACGAGAGGATAAGTGGTAATTAGAGAGGTGAATCTTTCGTTTTGTCAAGTTGGTATCCCGTACTGTGTGAACCACGAGGCAAAAGTTCGGTATTCACCGGTACAAGGGTATAATTATTATATACGACGGGGCACAAAGGGCCCATGAAGTGCTTCCTGCGCCCTTTGCTACCACCCGCGTAATTAAATCCCACGAAAATTTTCCATTTGATGAATTTTAGCTCTTTGATATATATTGTACTATACTACAGCGAGAAGCCATCGGCATGAGAAGGGACGAATGACGATAACTCATTAGGACTGTAACGAAGCGAATAAAAGCTGTACCGCACACGCACCCGCATACTTATTTAATCATGAGGAAAGGGGGGCAACTTTTAAAGAAAAAGGGTAAAGTCAGAGAGTGCGAGTATATATTATATAAGGCGGCCACGGTAGCACAGTGGTAAAGGCTGTAGTTCTTGTAGCTCGGGGGCTTGGTATAACACATGCTCACGAGTTCGAGACTCGGCCTTCACTCACTTGGCTCGCACCTCTGAGAAACTTATTTCTTAAGTGCGTAGGTATTACCAACTGTGGCCAAATGGTTCGGAAGCCATGTAAAATAAGGTCCCCTTTGCTGTGTAAGTGATTGATGTCACAATTAAATCTGAGGTGGTATAGGTACGTATACACAACTTGTCTGCTACGCACTATATATCATGACTATAGGGCGGTATTCCCTCTCTCTCCCGAAAACGCATATAAGCACGATGGAAAAAAAGCCAGTGCCTTTATGCGTTTGCTTTGTGCTTAGCGCTTATGCTTGTGGGCTGTAGCTTACATGCGTTAAAGGAACACGCCTCATGAGCCAATCACACATAGATTCAAAAAAAGGGGGGCACTTCCATCGCCGCTAAGCGTTTAGCTCCATGATTTTTCCCTCCGAGTTGGTATAAAACACCGACTCCGCCGCGCGGCAATGCGTCATACATATATACATTCGGCTGCGGAGAGAGAGAGAGAGAGAGAGAAATGAGCGCCGATCGATAAGCGCCCCGCGGCTGCAGCATCCCCCGGCCGCTCTCTCCTCACCCCCCCGCCCTCGCGTTCATCATATACAACCCGCCTTCTTATTCCACCGAAATAAAGACGGAGCTCCCGCTGAATCTTGCATTGGCCGAAAATAAGAAGGCCACCACCCCACCTCCCGCATTCAATCTTCAGCATCAAATGCCAAGCGCGGCTCATCTCTACCAATTGTGTACACGTATAGGGGACAAATTCGAAACTGCTGCTCTCGCGCGCAGACCCGACGTACACCTTCGCGCTAACAAGGTACCAATCTTCCCTGGCAGCTGCTGCGAGTCGAGCATATATAATATGTATATACCTAGCCGGCTGCGACGTCAAAAACGGAACTATCGGCAACGGGTGCGGTGGTAGTTATAACTTGCTGCCGGGGCTTCGTGGCGGGTTGGGAGTCGAGTCAGCCGTCTATGGGCGGTCCGCCGAGGGTCAGCGCTTGGACGATCCGAGGGTCGGCTTTGCTGCCCTCCCGAAACTCCTCGAGGGTCAACTTGTCGTCGTGGTTCTTGTCCATCTGGTCGAATATCTTGTCGACCCTCTTCTGCGGCGTGTTCTCGTCCTCCGCCTGCGGGGTCTGGCCCTGGAAGCAGTGGACACAACGCGCGTGTGGGGGGTTACACGAGCACTCTTACAATGGATGTGTGTGTGGCTCTCTCGGGTACAAAAACAAACAAAGTGAATTCGGTACCTTCAGAGTGGAAAAGACAATAATAAAAGAATGCACTCACCACCATCTGGTAGATGGCGTCCACGATGTTGTACATCTCCTCTCTCGTTATGAAGCCGTCGTTGTCGACGTCGTAAAGCCGAAAGGCCCCTGCAAGCACCCCCACAAAACCCTTGAGCACCGATGTTTTTACGATACACTAGCGAAAGCCCGCACTCGATCATCCAACGAAATTAATATAAAAGCAAAACATTCACTTACAATGTAACTTTTCGTCCAAGTTTCCTCTCGATGTCACGGAGAGCGCCCTGATGAACTCTTCGAACTCTATCGAGCCGTCCTGCGAGCATTCCATGTTTATTACAACACGTCGTATAAGTACGTGTGCTTTACTCATTCCCTTATTCGCTTATACATAATATATTATCCCCCTTACTTTGGTTACCATAATCAACGGATTACCCGTACAAGTGGTAACAAATATATGGTCTTACATTATGCATCGACTTTTGGTTTTGATTACATTAACTATGCGAGCAAACACACAAGTATCAAAGAGTTTAGCCATCGAGTAAGATACCGTGTACAATAGTGTATAATACATATATGGTGAAATTTCTAAGCTGAACAATAAGCACTCGAGTGTCCCTTATAATATGTGTTACGTGAAATCAAAGCAGCCAATGAAACTTTACCGGAAACACGGCGTGTTTATCGGGGTTGGAAAACTTAAGCGTGACGTTTGTCATCGTGTCCTACTCGTCAAATTAACACAAATAAGTATAGTGCCGAGGGCTTACGTTGTTTTCGTCGAAAACTCGAAAAACCAGCGAGGCAAACTTCGAAGGATCGCCGTACGGAAAGAACTGCTTGTAGATCTTAATGAATCCCTGAAAATAAAGAGTATGTACATACATATGTGTGTGTGTAAGCTATATACGGAGGATCGTGAAATGTGTTGCACAACCAACCTGTTCCGTGAGTAATCCATCCGGGCAGTCTTTGAGAAAACCCTTGTGCCTGCGAGGGGACGAGACGAAGGATGTCGTGAAAAAAAAAAAAAAAGAAAGAGATAATTTGTTGAAAACCAACTTTCCGACAAAGTGTAGTATGGGGTTCGCGGAGCTAAGGGCAAGGGTGAGAACACAAGGGGGACCGAGTGACCCGAATGAAAATAAAATCCCAAGTGAGGTTTTCGTTCCTGCACTTAGCCCCGTGCTCTAGTCAAATTGGGACGGAAATTCATGCAACGCGAGAGTGCCCGGAAGCTGTAATCCATTTCCCCGGGATATCCCTCGGACGGGGAGAAAAAAAAAAAAAAAAATAGAAAGATTAGCACATGTACGTACACCCACGTCTATACGTATAGACGAGGTGTGGGCGACATCGGCACGCGCGCTACTTTTGCATTCATGAAGATGGAGAGGCCGGGACGCGGCGCGCCTTTGGAAAGAGGCAAAATGCATTTTGTTTCCCCGAGGCGTAATAGGTATCCAAGACTCCTCCGCGCGCGTTGAATATAAATTTTCGAATGTCGATGCACTCCCCTCCCGATCCCCATCCTCGATAACCCGTTCGATAAAAATAGAGCGAAATTCGTCCTTCCCCCCCCCCCAACCCTCTCCTCCACCTTAGCTCTTGCACGTATATTTACAAGTGATGCAGGCAAGTGAATGGCTCGACTAACGAGGAATACATGGTCACGGCATTTGCTGCGTTCGGCTGAAACTTACCATTGTCGAATTTCCTTCTCGGTGACTGAAACAAAACGAAAAAGACAAAAAAGCATTGTACTAATAAACAACAATCCACGCGCACGTGTAGGTAAATACAGCGAGGGGGAAAAAAAAAAAGGAGTGAGGGAGAGACAGGATGGAGTTTATAGGTCGGAGGATCGCCCGCGAGAACTTGCGCGCATCTAACTTCGTGATTTATCGTGGCCCACAATCTATATATATATACCTTGCATGCATTATATATAGGTACCGTGTCCTGTGGAATTTTGCGCACACGATTTTCCGATGCGCAACGGTATATAGGGAATAAATTCTCGCAGCTGCCCCTTTCATCTCTTTCTCTTCGAGCGGAAATTCAATTATGGGGTCGTGACGCTCGAAGCGCAAGACAATCGGAACGGGGGCTCAACTATAGAATATATGTATATAATATGTGTATGTAAATATAACGTAGGCATACACGCGTAGTGCACTGCGGCTATATTACCTGACACACTCTGGGCTTATTACATTGCACGGATACGGGCACACCCGCATATGAAGGTCTTGTGTATACTTAGATACACCTGTCAAAGGTATATAGATTTTGCCGAGAGATTTATATAAGTCAAACGGACAATTGATAATTTTCCACTGTTCGTTATCATTGGGACTGAGCAGGGCAAAGTAATGTACCTCGTGCAATGGCTGTGTGTGTGTGTGTGTAGTTTCAAACGTTTCTTTGGTAAAACATATGTAAACAACGTAAATAGAGATCCGTGTACTTGAGAGCTTGAACTTGCAGCAAAAGGGGCACTAGCGCGGGCGCCAAGAGGCTATAAAAATCACGGTACAACCGTATATGCTGAGCCGGAGTAGTTTCGGTAGCAACGTGGTGTTTTAAGTACACACGTACGTATCGAGACACCGACGTCAAAGGAACATAGGGTACATAAGCTATACATATGTAGTACGAGTCAGTCGTAAAGGGTCGCCGGGAGGATTAAATGTATACATATATATTGCGGGAGCTTTTACGAGCACAAACATACATTTGTACGTACTTGTACAGTAGATGCATAGTGTTTTCAAGATGACACATCATCCGTCCTCGCATCGTTTGCTTTTTAGGTAATAATAGTAGTACACGGTATGTAATACCTACATGTATGTATACAGATAAGTGAGGATGGATACAATAGGTATAAATAACACGCCCGCTCTCTCATCTGCGTTAAATTGTTGTGTATTGACGATTCGTTGGTCCTCGATCGACACCCATGTTTGCGTGTCTGTGTGTGTGTATGCGTACATTGGCTCATCGGCACTGACAATGGATTAAACTTGCCTCGGTTAATGAGCACCGATATGCTGTACATTTGTACGAAAAATACGCTGCTCGTGGATTTCGATTATATTAATCGAGGTGATTGGGTTAAGAGCTCAACTGATTACTCAATTGATCGGTAAAATGCGCTTAATAATAATCATCGATTGGTCCAGGTAAAAAAAAAAAAATAAATAATAATTGTCTGTCACCCCCAACGGATCTGTAATTAGCCGGTAATGAATGGCGTTTTATTCGAAGTGAGCCCAAGTGCACTGATAAATGCAATGGCCATCGGCAAATGGGAAAATTTTCAGCTGCGCAGTCAGCACCGTCAACGTAAGGAGGCTACAATTTCGCTAATGCGCCAGGAAACGAGGCGGCAAAAATCCAAAGTGAACAAAACGAGGAAGGAGGGAAAGAGCAGTGGAACCCGTGAGTTGTCGAGCTCTTTTTGTGTCCGTAATTGTGTTTTTTTTTTTTTTCTTTGCTGATCCTGGAGGCGTATCCAATACGTAGGTATACACGAAAACAAAATAAATAATAGTAAATTATTGGAAAATCAGTTGCGTCACGATATACCTAACTCGGGGAATCAAACGAGGGTCGCATTTGCGGAAAAAGCTCGACTCCCCCTTTTTCTATTTTTTCTTCTTCTTATTTTTCAACCGAGTTCGCATTCCCCCATTTTTCTTCCCGACTCCCCGGCCAAACGTCACCGAGCGAAATCGATGAGGTGCTCCACGCGTTTTGACCCCTTCTCCCGAGGGACCTCGTGTTTTTTTTTTTTTTTTTTTTTTTTTTGTTCAATTTTTCATCCATCGGCCAAGATGTACGAGCAATCTTACTTACGAAGCCGCGGCTCACAATGCCGATTCTCCAAAGTATACAGGAGTATACAAGTAAACCCTCGGCCGATTCCTCCACTGTCAGTGGTCCGAATAAGGAAGAAAAGTACCCCTTTTCCCCCTCGCGCGTGAGTCACATCTCTAATGTCTCGTCATACACTCGTCGCGAATGGAGATTCCTTCATTTATTTTTTTTATTTCCCCTCCTCGCGATAAAGTACGGGCATACATATACACACGGGGTGAAAATTCTCGAGTGTTTGTTCGCAAAGCTTGTGGCTGAATAAACGGGTATAAGAGGGGCGTGTCACATCTATCGGACCGAAGGTAATAGGAGAGACAGAACAAAAAAGTATACAAGAAATATATGCGGGACGTATATGTATATGTATACTCATACACGGGGTGGAAAATCTGGTGCACGAGTCAATATGTATCATATTATATGTATGGTAAGGGACGTGTGCCGGTGTATAAAAACGGCCACGCAAAAAGTTTGGTGGCGCCGCCGAGTAATACTTACACACATATAGGCGGTATGGAGCCACACACACACACACACGTATAATATAATATATTAGTTTGGAGAGGCGTGGGCGTATATCGTCTCTGTGCCGTAAGAAATGCCCGGCCGAAATGAAAAAGGAACCCCTTAATATGTGACTTGTATGCGTATATATATAGAGTAGGTACACACAAGTGGAACATCACTCGGATGTATTAGTTTGGTGGCATGTGCGGGGAATGCCCCACACCTATATATATATATATATATGAACGCACGTATAAGGGGAATAAACTTTGGTACACAACGGTGTAATGAGTGTATATATACATGTACAAGAGAGTAACGTGCCCACCGAGCGTAATATTCCATCCGAGAGTGGGTGGATTACACGTATAAGCGAGAGAGGGCGATGTAACGCGCGGCCGTACAACTAGGTGACCCAAATTCCTGATATCTCTCTGGGTTCATTTCCCCGGGGGGTTGGAGCGGGCCGATGTGTGTACCGGCCTTTGGACCAGCCAGGGATTTTTGTGTGCGTATGGCTAAAAGGCACCACCTTCGCCTCGGGGGAGGAGAGTTTAGAAGCACGAACGAAAGAGAGCTTATGTATCGAAAAACAGGGATAAAGAGCCATTGTCCGTGTAACGTGCTCTCCGGCACTCTCTTTGTCGTTCCGTGTCGTACAAATTCCTCGCACGTACGTACACACCATACGTATGAATACACACGCGCGTTCAATAGTAGACGCTGCAAGGCAACGAGTTTTTCTTTTCCCCATGTCGGAAAGCTCTCTCTCTGTGCATTCTTGTAGGCACGAGGCATGGCTTTCCAATACAAAAGAAGGATCCAAGAATTTTACACCTCTTCCCATTTAGGCATCACCACTGTGTTTACGGGGACTACCGTAACTGCTCGCATATATATATATATATATATATATATAGGTGGCATCAATGTTATGTGAATTTGTTGTTGTTATCGTGCACGTAGGTATATACGCATGTCACAGGGACTTTGAGGTGGATGGCTCAAGTGAAGCAAAGTGTATATCATACGGTATTATAACGAACATTGACGTGCGAGTTCGAAACTCGTCAACCGGCTACATGCGTGCAACTGAAGCCTGAAACTGTACCGAATACCTACAAATATAATATGTCGATTGTAACGACCTTATATTGTATATACTTTGGTGAGAGATCGGTGTTTGTTGCCTGATTAATTCATTAGGTAGAGCAGCTAACAATAAATATACATATATGTATATATACAAGCAGAAAGACCGCAGGTAATCGTTTGAGGGGGGGAATAAAGAAAAATGGGCCCGAAGCTATTTTATTACACTTTCATGAGACGAAGAACCAAAGATTGTTCATTGGTATCGAATAACGTTCCTCTTCAAAGCGTACCCGCTTTCGTCCGGGCATCCCGAAAACCGGGATATTAAGCCACGCTATTTGCCCCCCGGGAGCAGCGATATTGGAAACGACGAGTGTACACGCGCGTGTATCTGGCAATGAAAAAAAAAAAAAAAAAAGCCACGACGACACGTTCGATCGTGCGGCAAAGTAAATAAACGGGGTTTCGGTGCACGCGAGCTCCACCCCTTTTTTTTTTTTCTTTCATTTTTCACTCTGGTATACTTTAACAAATTCGAGCTTTCGGAGAACTTGAAAAAACAATTGTTCTTAACAGTCCCAGGAGACGTTGCACCCTTGCATCGGGTATATTCCTTGGAAATCAAATTTTAACGAAATGAAAGGGATGAAACGACCACGGAAAAAAAAAAAAAGAAAAATTATTGTTGCAGGGAACGCCAAACAGGAGGATGTACGCATAAATCAGCGTTTTCATAAATCTCGGGGCGAGCGTGGGGAGTATTCGTTTGCCAGGGGAGCAGGGGGGCGTCGAAGAGCTCGCATAAATCTGTATAAAGTTCACTTGCAGCGGAGAGGAGGATTCGCGAAAGGTGGTGATGGCGCGCTGATGGTTGCCAACCGATCCTGTACAGTTGAATTTGTTTTTCTATTACTTTTTAACCATTTGACCGCCCATTTGACGATAGCTAAACATGTACATTATTTTGCTCCGGTTTCGGAGTGGCGTTTCGAGCTTGGCTAGTTTCTCGCGCAAATTGAAAACACGATTGGACCGACCCAAAGCCCAAGAGGGAACGAAACCCCACAAATGTGTGTACGTGTGCACTTGCACGTGTGTACGCAGCGTATAATGCGCGGGTGTACGTCACGGACTAGACGCCAACTCGCTGATTGTGGCAAAGTGCTCGAGAACATACATGTATATATATACAGCCTCGTCAACTTCCCCCAAATTTAATTCCCGTTGCAATTAAACTGGCG